TCCGCACTTTAAATTTCAGTTTTAAAAACTCTGTGGTTGAAAAACATTTTTCTACAAAATTTAAAAGAAATTTTTATTTCGGTTCAATAATTTTCAAAAGGGGACTTAAATTTTTAAAACTACCAATTCACCCCTCATCTTGGTAGCCTTGGGACATTCACTTAGGATTAACAACCTAATTACTAGACTCAACAATTAACCTTTTCATCTTTCGTTAGTTCCCTATCTAATACATGTAAAGAAGTGACTATTTGAGTAAATTTGTGTACATGTTAGAAATGGATTTATTGGGTTTCATGTAAAATAATTTATAATTATATAATAAAATATCCAATCTAGATTATTTTACTTCATTAGTCCCTTCTTATATAATACAAATCCTATCACAAATGTCCTTTCCACTTTATCAAGTGGAAACCCGCATGTAATCTTCAGACTTAAGTGCATAAAAGAAATTATTTAAACATTTTACATTTAATTGTGCTAAGTCATTATCTTCTATAATCCTGTCAGCAAAAGGTGTTTCAACTCTAATGCCATCTACAAGTCTAGTTAGCCTATTATACCCTTCCTGAATTAAAATTCATATGATAATAAAGGGTTTGAATAAATGTAGACATTTGTGTTTTTAAAAATCAAATGGGATATTGTCAAATAACAAAGGTCTTGTGATCGAATACCCTTTAGGTGTGTTTCGGTTTCAAAAGTAGCCATTATCATTTTTCAAAAAGTAGTCTAACTTATAGTTTTGAAATAATGCTCTGATACTACTTATTGATTTCGTATAGGTTGTTAAACCTAAGCTATTATCCCAAGAGGGGGTGAGTTGGTAATTTTAAAAAAATTTATCTTAGATTTTTAATAGAAAACCATTTTAATAACTTTTCAACTTTGATTATCTTTTGAAATGAGCTTTTCAACCACAATAAAAAAATTACAGAAAAATAAAAAATGCAGAAAATAAAATAGCACAAAGATTTATAGTTGTTCGATCAAAAATGACCTACAACCACTCCCTGAAGACTCCCTCTTCATGTATTGCATTATTACCAAAAGTGACTCTCCTTTAGTACCCACAACAAGGTGGATAAGCCTTTACAAATTCCCTCTCTTCTACCTATCCCTGGTGCGGTAGAGTACCGTCATCCTTTCACACTCTCCAAGTGTCGGTAGAGTACCATCATCCTTTCACACTCTCCAAGTGTCAGCAGAGTGCCATCATCTATTCACACTTTAAGTGTCGGTAAAGTACCATCATCCTACTTCAAAGAGTTTCTCTCAAGTAACAAAAAAGAAGAAAAGAAGAGTTGTAACCAAACACATAAAGAGGTCCTTACCTTTTAGTAACCTTGTGAACCCTTCACACTTCTCTTGCAAAAAAACTCTCTCAAACACTCTCCCAAATACACTCTTTTACTTGCTCTTGAAAAATCATGAAGAAGAACATTTTTCACGTCAGTTTTAAAGGACTTTTTATATGAAAGGCACGAAAAATCATTCAAAAAATTAAAATTTTCCATTTGAAGCGTGTACGATCGTAAGTTCGTATGTATGAACAGTTCAAAAACTATTGCGTATGAACCTTTTGTGAATATGTACGAAATCATTTCATATACGATGATTATCCAGTATGAACAAAGTTCGTACTATACAGACATTTAGAAATTTTTTCATCTTCGTCGCGATGAAGAGGGACCCCACATTTTCTATTCTCTGGATGGCGTCTATATGAAGATGACATCATACAGTTTGATCCGTTCAAAAAATTTCAAGTTTGTCTGGATGAAAAAGGACCCGTCTAATTTTTACTCTAGACGGCGTCTATACGAAGATGACATCGTACAGTACGATCAATTTAGAAAATTTTCAAGTTTATTAGGATGAAAATGGACCTGCCCAATTCGTACTCTAGATGACGTACGCACGAACATGACATTCTACAGTACGACCAGTTCATAAAATCTTTGAATTTATTGGGATGAAAAGGGACCTGTCCAATTCATATTATGGATGACGTATGTACGAAGGAAGCTTCATACATTACGATTAGTACTTAAAATTTTTTTCTACCTTTAGTTTGTTTGACTGCTCATAGGGGAAAATAACTGAACAAATTATTATGTATGAAATGAGATCATAAAGTATGATTAGTTTAAAAATTTTATAATTTTAAACACTCCCCCAACGTGTGTGCATAGTTATTCAATTACAATCACACTCTCTCAGTCTCAATAAAATGAAAAATACAGACTTCATTTACAATGAACCCTAATCTAATCTGATTTGAACTCTTCAATAATTTGGAGTATGATTTCTCTGAAATGTTAATACACACAAATAATAAAATAATACTTCTAAAATATGTTAAGAGAAATTATAATTAAAACAATAATATTTGAAATAATAAAAAATATATAAGTTACAAGAGTATCAATAATTGAAAAACTAAGTTGTAACTATCACAATAATAAATTCAACCAGTAATATTTCCCATCATCATAAAGAGGGAGATTATTGCAACTAGAGCTCATGAGTTTATATTTTGGATGATAACGAACATTGTGGCTCACATTCTTATGTCTAATTATATTTGTAATATATACTTATTTGTGTGTGTACTAACATTTTAAGACTGACATGCACCATCTAACAAAGATTCAAGGCTAAATATTAGGTAGAATAAGTTATATTGTGAAGATTTTTGTAATATTCATTGATGTATTTTTATTTTTTTGAGTCAAGTCCTATAAGAGTGTATGTTTACTTGGTGACCATGTACACACACCTAGGGGGGGTGAGATTAAGTCAAACTAGAAGTTAAATTTTTAAACTAATCATACTGTAAAATTTATATTGTCTAGGACGATCAGTTATGCTCTTGGAAAATAGATGCCAATCATAATTTAGGCAAGATTTTGAATTTTATATTTTATTCTAATCATCTAGAATGATGTACATCATACTGAACGATATATAAAAATCTTGTCTAAATTGATCATGAGATTAATCAATCAAATCTACTTAATTTTTATATTCTGATCATATTGTATGAACTAGATCGTACAGGATGATTTATAGAGATAATTTTGGTTGTCTTAGGTTTCATCTTGGATGAATTACATTTTGGTTAAACTAGTCATCCCGAACGATCTCCGGATCGTACTAGATGATCTATGCAAAAAAACTTGAACTGATTGTATAGGACAATGCTGATTTTACTAGCTTAAAGGGCTATTTTGTACTAAACATATAGGATGATCTCAGAATCTTACTATACGATCTTTGAAGCCCTCTATTTAAACTTAGTTAAGGCACTTATTAAGTGTCTATGATATCCATTATGTCTTCATTCTTCTAGAGAAAACTTGAAGAGAGAGCTTGAAAGAGAGAGCGGAAAGGGTAAAGTTTAAGAGGGAGAAGATCCTTGGAGCGAGTTTCAAGAGAGTCTGGAGGAGATTTCATACGGTTGCTCCGGTAAACTTATACCTTAGTACCACATATTCAAGATTCATCTTGGGGGAAGTTTTGTGAAGAAGAAGATCTCTTTGGTGTCAAAGGTTCAGGCTACTCCACCACACCCGGGAAGGTGGTAGTGATTTTGTAAGGACTTCTCTTCCTAGCTGAGGGGGCTATAGGAGAGTCACTAAATGTTTAGTGCAATACTCGAAGGGTGCCTCTAGGGAGTGGACGTAGATTAGGTTAGACTGAACCACTATAAATCTGATGTGTTCTTTCTAATTTTATTTTTTTTTTCACTTTATTTTCTGCATTTATTTTAGATGTAAATACTTGGTTGAAAATTTGTGATTGATATTACGTTGTATTAATTATCTGTTTTCAAACGTTGAAAAATTATTAAGAAGGTGATTTTTTTCTTTTTGTCGAAAGAAATTTTTTTAAAAAAAAATATCCAATTCACCCCCTCTTGGTTAGCCTATGGACTAGTTATTTACGGTTTAACAACCCCTCATGAACTTTCACTTCCATGCCAAACATATTCAAGCTCCTCAAGATAAGCAAGCTTAAACAAAAATAAACCCCCTAGAGACGATGAAAAGTTTTTATTATGCCTTGATGTTGTCATAAATTTTAATTGAGAAGAGTAGTGATTATAGTACCCTTCTTTATTAAAATCTTAATCGACCAACATCATATCCCATTCTTTGACCCTAGTAGAGAACTTTTCCTTAAAAAAATTAATTTTTTTTTTGTTTTAGTTACTACAACTAGAGAGAGTGAAATTAGTAGAAATGGGAAAACCTTTTTATTTGAGAGTAGTGTCATACCTACTAGTGAGGGGAGTAGAAGGTCACATATCTAAGGATATAGAGCTTGGGTTAAATTATTTAGAACCACTAATATAAGGTTGAGAGGAAAAAGGCAGAAGAAATTGGAAGGTTAAAGAATATGAAGGTTTGAAACTATATCTGTTGAGAGAGGTTGGGTGGCAATTAGATTTAGTGATGAGAGCTTTGTTTAGGTTGAGGAAGGGAGAGAATTCACTAAAGAAGAGGAGATGGGAAAGGCATATGAATCATTAAGGCCACTTACCTCAATTGTAGGTAAGGATGAAGAGAAAGCAGAATGATCAAATATTTTTTAAGGAAAAAGGTAGAGAATAACATCATAAAAATAGAATGCAAAAAGGAAAAGCCCGTAAAACCTTAATAGAGCTCTTTACGTTAGAGTTCAACGAAAAAGATAAAATATAGCGAACAAATTTGCTCCTATTATCTCCCTAAAATAAAACTCTCTCTCAACTTTTACTATAATTGGTTTATTTTTGTGAAGTAACTTATTTTAATAAAATATTGTATTCAAGAGTGATATATCTTTTGTGAGTGCTCAAATTAGGAACAATAGGATGTAAAAGTAAACACCTTAAGTTAAAAATATTAAAGACACCTTAACTATTCCATATAGATTTGATATTAATTAAAATCGAATACAAATTTATTTAAATGCTTTTGCATTTTGTTATTTGAGTTTATGACTCTATGTGCCTCATACACGCAAAAGCATTGCTTGCCTTCTTTTCGGGAGTGCAAATTCTTCTTCTATTTCCTCTCAATCGCTGATAAAAGAGGAAATGACTTAACTAAAAGACTCCTTGTTAGCCCACAAAAATTCCCAGCCACCGATCACCACCCGCGTCTCCGGTACTACTTTCTAGTTCTTCTGTTGCATCCTGGTAAACCCTAGCTCGGTTTTCTCGCCGGTATCAATCCCTTCTTTCGATTCTTCTCCTCTTCCGAATCCCCTGGTACCTTCAGAAGGTTGGTTCCAATCGCAGCTGAGACCGAAGGACTTTTTTTGACAATTTGTTCCAGATTCATACCATCGTTATTCCTGTAATTAATCTCATTTGCAGATGGTTTATGTTTGATTACCCTTTCTAGTTTTCGTACGTTTTGATTTGATGCGAATTGGCAGTAGTTTTGATTTCTGGTGGATTCTTAACTCGGAGTTTGAAATGTCAGCTTCCGACGACGGCAGTTCATCACCTCGATCACAGGTGTGCTCCTTTCTTTATCATCAAAGTAGTTAATTGTAAATTGGAGTTAATTTTAAGTTAATGACCGTTTTGCGTTTGATCTCTTTTTAAATGGATGTTCAAAGTCCTTAAATGCTCGTGATTTGTGTAATTAGCAGACCATTAGCTATTGTAGACACTGAAACCTTTTTGTACAATTCGTTAGGAATCATGACTCATTGAGCGCTTACATTTAATATTTGCCTGAGATCCAACACTGCAAGGTGAGGCTTCCTTTGCAAACTCTTATTTCAGTTAAGGGAAATTAAATGTTCTTCCAAAATTGCAAAAGTTTCAAAGAATGCTTATTTGTCATATTGTTCCAATGATAAATTGGCGCCAGTTTGCGGATGTTGTGTGTTAAACTAGTTCAAATTGAGAAAAAAAATTGTGGATTGTTTAGAATAAAAGCTTTTACAAGATGATTTTGTAATGCTTTTTTTAACTTGCAATTAAGAGGTTGACTGATTTACCTCCTTAAGAACCATGAGAAATAACCATTCATCTAAGGAATACCAAATTGAGATTATATTTGGTTTAAGTATATTATGACAAGCCAACTCATAATTAGATTGCATTACTTAACCCAGCAACATTTGTTTCTCTCTGTTGTGATTTGGCATTCAGCTATGCTCTCAAGCGTTTGGAGACTTGCTCGACTCCATAATTGTAGATGTGGCATCAGAATGCCACCGGATAGCCCGGCTAGGTCTGGACCGAAATCTGGAAGAGGAGGAGGAAGAACTTAGACTCTCGGCTCAGGCAAGGGTGGCAGATCCTAGCAGTAGTAGTGATGGTAATAGCAAGAACATGGTTGATATATTCGGGCAGACTCATCCTGCTATTGCCAGTGAGATCTTTGATTGCATGAACTGTGGGAGACCAATAGTTGCTGGCCGGTTCGCACCGCACTTAGAGAAGTGCATGGGGAAGGTGGGTTCTTTCTGCTGCTTCTGTCATTGGATCTATATGAATCTAGGGTATTCATTAGTTCAATCCTATTAGTATGGATATTATAATGCAGAGTATGCATGTCTATGATTAAATTATCACATGAAGGTTCTTTTTCCTTGCCCTCACTTTTTTTTTTTCCAAATATTCTTGACAGTTTTCGTTCCTGGTCATTTCAGGGGCGGAAAGCAAGGCAAAAGATGACGAGAAGCACTACAATGACACAGAGCAGGAGTTCCCGTGGTAGCCCAATATCCGTCTATGCTCCATACTCTACTGCCAACAGCATCAACAGAGTTCCAAATGGTGGTAGTGGTGCTTCTGCAGAGTACAAAGACTATGCATTTGATGAGCCATGAGATGCCAACCAAGGTCATGTTTCATAACTTTGTGGCATCTAAATTGTCATGATGCTGAAACTTCACAAGGTTCCATACTTCAGGACCTGAAGAATGTGGTTGCATCTTTTTGGCCGTTTTATTAGATAAATAAATATATAACTGTTTTGTCATTTGATTTTCTTCACCTTAAATGTCTTTGAAAGTCTAATTCTTACGAAATAACTAATTAAGTTAAGAAAGAAAGTTTTGATTATGTAAAAGAAGATTCTTAAGATATATTACTCTTCACTGGCTTACACATTCTTTATATTCCATATGCCTATTCCTTTATTCCCATTTCTCCTGGAAATCTAATTACTAACTCTGATAGAAAGAATCCAAAATGTCATACAGAGCAAGATGCTTTACTGCATTTAGACAAGATGTCTTTGTCATGTTTGCTTAGTCCTTTCAAATCAAATGTTAAACCTGTATCTAGCAATGAAATCCATGATGAAATTTGAGGTTATGTGGATGTCACTTTTGCGCACAACCTTTAGTTTCATAATTCTTACAGGTCAACTCTGCTGAAATGATGAAACAGGGAATACATTATGTCAAATCAAATTTCACTGAGCCATTATCTACTGAATAATTTCACCTAGCTGCATTTTTGTGTTCACATAATTTTTTTTTTCTAAGTAGGTGAATGCATTTTTTGGGCTGTACCAGGCTTTTTAATTTCTTCCTATAGATTTTCTGGCTAGTGGTCATAAAGTGTTTGGTTGCAGCTTCTATCAGCTCTCGTATGTTTTAATTTAATTAAGGCTGTATTTTTTGTTAAACCGAAATCATCAAACTCTCAGAGTTGTGAGTTCGGAAGTCGGTTCTTATCTTCTTGATGTCATGGTGCAAGTCTAATCTCCTTAATACTTAGAAAACAAAAAATTATGATAATCTTATTTCCAGTTCCTTGACTTAGATCACTTGAGCTTTACAGTCTTTCCTGCTACCTGTTGATGATCTTGGACAACTTCGAACTGAATATTATTTTTCTTTTTCTTGGGAGAAAAGATATAAGGACATGCATGCAGGAGCTATTACTTGTGTTCAAATACAAGATGATTTGATCAAGTATCTCCCTATTTCAGTTGGATTACATCAAAGATCAGCCTTAAGCCCATATCTTTTTGCTTTAGTCATGGATGGTCTTACTAGACATTTGCAAAAAGTTGTACCTTGGTGTATTTTTTTTGTTGATGATATTCTTCTTGTTGATAAGACTAGAGAGGGAGTTGAAGGTAACTTGAATTATGGAGGTTAACTTTAGAGTCTAAAGGCTTTTTTTTTAGTAGATCTAAAATTGAATATATGGAGTGTTATTTTAGTAATAATAGATTTAGTGGGGGATGGTGTTTTGGGCGATCAAGTTATTAATAAGAGCACTCGTTTAAGATATCTTGGTTCCATTGTTCAGAGTGATGGTGAAATAGATGGGGATATTATTAGTAGAATTCAAGTTGGATGGTTGAAGTGGAGAAATACTTTGGGCTTGTTGTGTGATGTAAAAGTTGATCCCTCTCAAACTTAAGGGAAAATTATATAAGATGGTAGTGAGACTTGCAATGCTTTATGGTATAGAATGTTGTCCATTAAAAGAGACATAATATTATGTTTTGCAGAGTCGAGGATGCTCTGTTGGATGAGTGGCTTTACCCTTAGAGATAGCATACGAAATGAGCATATACGTAGAAAGGTTGGAGTAGGTCCAGTGGAAAATAAGATTAGAGAGAGTCGCCATAGATGGTTTGGTCATATAAAACAACGACCTTGTGATGACTTGGTTAGGAAAGTAGATGAATTAGGTTTGATTTATGTTAAGAAAGTTAGAAGTAGACACAAAAAAACTTGGTTAGTAAGTATTAGAAATCAACTTTTTTTATTAGATTTATATGAGAATTTGACTCTTAATAGCACAATGGAGAAAAAAGATTCATGTAGCAGATCCCACATAGTGGGATAAAACTTGTTGTTGGGAGAAAATATATAATGGATGGCAGATCCTTTGTGCTTTTGTTTTGAATGAGCTTATAGGCTTGGAGGAATTCTGATAAATGAATGCTTTCTAAGATGTTACTTAAAATTTAAGTTTTGTTTGGAACAATTTTATTATTGTTGCCAAAAGTAGCTTTGTAGTATATAAATTTCTAGTTTAAGAAATTTTTGTACTAGATATTTGTTTAAAAAAATAGTAAGAAGGCTATCCAAAATGAAGCCTTAGTAAAGATGGATTCTAAATTTTTTACAGTTATGTTGAGGTTAGCATAATATATTAATGATTAATTATTATTTGTCTTGTACTTGCCTTAAAAGAAATTTTTTTTTAATTTTTAAATTTTGTTATGATAAAATTTTAATCAAAATATTATCATAATTTTTTTCTTTTTTTACGCAAACGGTTGATTTTGAGTAGATCTTGAAACTTTTAAATTTCCTTCGAAATAAGTATAATGAACGAAAAATTAATTTAAATTTGTATAGCACTCATCAAGGTTTGGTCACTTAAGATGTCGACCTTTCGATGAATTGATTATGAGAGTAGATTTATGTGATCCGACTTATGTTGAGAAGATTAGAGGTAGATCTAAAAAGATTTGGTTATAAAATATTAAGAATGATTTTTTTATTTTATTAAAATAAGATTTGACTCTAATGTAACACAATGAAGAAAAATAATTCATATAGCCGTCCTCACTAAATAAAGTAGTTAAAAGAAATCTGCTTGGCAAACAGGATCCCATTTGAAAAAAAAAACTATTGCTCTTACCAACTTATTATTAGATAGAAGGATACAGATATGCCCGAAATACATGACTTTCTTCTGGATTTTGCATCATTTGGAGGTCACGGGTGATAGTCCAGAGCAAAAAAAAATTGAAGCAGTACAATCATTTGATTAAGAAGCACAATTTTAATTATGGAATATTTTGAAAAATCTCTCATAATTTGTTCTATTATTAGACCAAGCCTGATCAGCAGGTTGTTGGTAAATAAAAAAATAAATAAAAAAAAAAACATAAATTGAAGTCACCATTGCCTAAAATAACCAAGAATGTAATAATCAATACAAAATATTGCAAAAATTAGTACATTTCGAAGGTATTATTAGTGTATTCTTATGTGAAAAACATTTATAGGCACTATGCTATGACAAAATAAAATACATTACTCTAAACCCTAAATTTTGAAGTCTAAATATATGATTCACATGCATTGTGAGCCTTTTCTAATTTATGAGTTAGTCAGGTCAATACAAAGGCTATCATTATAAGCTCAAATTTTAGTTGTAAGAAAATGTGATCTACATCCACCATTATGGGTATTTACCAAGAGTATTCTACATGTGGAATAATGTTGATTTTAGATATTGGTGACTATAAAATTGTATTAATACTAATTGATAAAAAGAATTGTTCGATGATTATTTTTTTGGGGAAAATTGGGTGTAGATTTTTAAAGTTTCTCAATATTGTAATCGAATGCAACATTGTAAATAATATATATATATATATATATATATATATTATCTCTGGGGATAAAAATATTACTCTCTAATCAATTTAGATATAAATATAAAAAAGGCTTTTTTATCGTAATTAATGTAATTGAATTATGCAAAGAAGTTCATACAATCCTTGAGAATTAAAAGATGTTCAATTGCATATTTAATTACAATAATTTAGTTGTCTTCATTAATTTCATAATCAAATTTATAATGAAAAATGACATATCATCCCAAAGGATAATAATATCATTTCTTACTGAGAATTTGGAATATGACGATAATGATATTTTGAAAAGTTTTGGATTTTAGTCTTTGATTTTTCCAAAAGAATGATTTCCCTCATCTTATTTAGGAGCTAAATAAGATGAGGTTTATTTTAATCTAGGGTCTTGAGTCTCCTATAAAGGCAAGCTTTTATGGCTAATTACATCGTAAGAAAGACAAATTTCCTATGAATACTCTCGATTAAAATAGTGGTGGATATTTTGTTAGATTCTCACTGATTGGAGCAAGGTAAAGAGATTGGAATTTTCAAATGAGATTAGTTCAAACTTGAGCATTTCGTTCTGGAAGTTAATGAAGGAAGAGTATGAGGCTTTTTGAAATTCTACAATAATTCAGAAATGCCCCATTTTATCCTTTGTTAGGCTTTAAGTTTTGGAGAAGAAGAATTTTATGTTTGTATTGACTTTTTAGTAGGAATTTGGGATTATATTCCCGATAGTGAGGACTTAAGATTTGATGTCTGCCTCATATCCTATATCTAAGTTGGGCATTACACGATAGTAGCCTGAACCTATTCCAATGCACTTTGGACTTATATCGGCTTGAATTGTAAAGTTAGCTAAACCACCTAAGCGCTTAAAACTATGACTTCGATCTCATGGAAGATGGGTAGGCTGTTATTTAAGTTTTTGAAAATTTTGGACCAACATCTGGATAATATCCTAAATGACCCCTTTACTTATGAGTGGTATAATTATACACAATGTAATTAAATTTTAATTGACTTTCAATTCTTCTAATACAATGCTTACAAATTGACTCTTTATGCTAAAATGATATGCTTGAACTTCAAAAATAGGTATAGAAAATATATTTTTTCCTAGAGAGCACAACAGCCCCTAAGACAGAACTGTACTTTAATCGGCCAAGTTTTCTTCTACTACTCACAGGCAGGGAGGTGCCTAATAAGGATAGAAGAAAGGTATGAATGCCTGAGAACTCCAGACATGCTCTAGCGTACTTCTTAGGAACATTTATCTTTCTATGTGAATGTGGGCTCCGAAAATTCGGCCCCAGCCTCCCCTGCTACTTTTTCAATGGGGTTTTAAAAGATTATGTTCCGGGGTAAATTTTAGGAATGCATATGAGTTTGTAAATAAGACACTGCCCAGAGATTTCACCCTCATTTTGTGAGGACTTTATGATCCGAGTTCTGGTTTCATATAGGTGCAAGTCCTTATAGTTAATTACACCTCTCAATAACAAGAGAGAACTTTTGATTAAGGCTAGTTGTCAATCATATATATAGATATATGCGTTATCTGGCATATAGTAGCAACAATGGGCATTTGGAATTTGAAGGGTTGATATTTAATATTGAAATTTTACCATCTTTCACTTAAAACGGATGGTGGGGGAATGAATGATAAACCGGATCAAGATCCCGTGGTTCCGTCGTCCAGGGACATTGTGGTCTCTGGTCTACTTAGTCAGATGAGGTAGTTGATCCAACCTAATAGAAGGATCCTTG